ACAAGGAATGTAAAAAGATTCATGTGAAAAAGATAAAAAAATAAAAATAACAAATGAAAACTACAGACAAAAGTTCATTTTCTACAACAAAAGACATTCATTTCTGTAGTTCACTGCCAACAGCAAGCAGAAATATTTCTCCTCCCGATGATGGCCATTTCGGTCGAAACTAGTCGAGGAATCTAAATGGAATAATAATAATAAAAAAACGAAAGAATATTAATCTACAACCCAGTGTGTCTAATGATTTTAATTTTTTTTCTTTTTCTTATTATATATATATATATATATATATATATATATATATATATATATATATATATATATCCGATTATGGCAGATTTTTGTAGCGTTCACAAAGTGTGTTTTACACCAATTTCGTGGACATATGCTTTAATCTTCGATGAGATGTTGCCAAATGTTTCCGTCATTACGCGGATGACTTGAACGTTTTTTTCGGCATATTTCAAAATTTGCGACGCTCAAACACAACTCGAAGGTTTGTCGACATCAATTATTTGTCATTTGTTTTCTGCTTTGTTGAAAATGACTATATCCGTTCTTCGTTGTTCAATAACTCGATCTGATTGGAAATCAGTATCGGATTGTCTTTATTGTCATAATCACGACGTTTCAGTTGTTGTACTCTCCGACCTTCTTCAGGTGATACCTGCTGGAATTTCGAAGCGAACCATTTATTTAATCCACGGGTGTAGTTCGCTCTAATACGATATTTCAGTTTCAGTTAATTACCTTTAGAGATATAGCACGTGGAATTAGAACAATCTACCCCCGCGGACTAAATAAAGGGTTCGCTTCGAAATTCCAACGCATATCACCTGAAGAAGGCCGGAGCGCACATCGGTCGAACGTTGTGAATATGGTAATAAAGATAAGGAGAACACTATGAAATGATGTAAATAGTGAAAATAGTTACAATACTTTATCTCAGAAATATAGATAGATCCTGAAGGTGGCCGGAGCGTACAATAGCCGAAACGTCGAGAATATGACAATAATGATATGGACAATAGTCCGAACAATGTAAATAGTGTAAATAGTTACAATACCTCATCTCAGAAATATAGACATATCCTGAAGGAGGCCGAAACGTACAATAGCCGAAACGTCGAGAATATGACAATAATGATATGGACAATAGTCCGAGCAATGTAAATACTATAAATAGTTACAATACCTCATCTCAGAAATATATACAGATCCTGAAAGAGTCCGGGGCGTACAATGGCCGAAATCGTATCAATTCTTGGGCACATTTTTTACACAAGATCCGTGTCAGGTATTATTATTATTATTATTATTATTATTATTATTATTATTATTTCCTTCGATTTCTAGTGTATATATATATTTCTTACCGGATTCTGCCCAGACCTAAAGGTGAGGGCTGTACTCGTGAGAACATTTTTTTGTATTTCTTTAAGGCATGGGCTTCCAGAGATCCCTTCAATTAGTCTACTGGAATCTTTTCTAACCAATCCGAGGGCTCCAACTACAACGGGGATTGTTGAGGTTCCCATGTGCCACATTTTTGAGATTTCGATTTCAAGGTCCATGTATTTTGAGAGCTTTTTTGAAGATCTTCAAAGATTTATTGCAGTCTGCAGTGACGGCCATATCAATAAGGAAGCACTTTTTTGTTTTTTATTTATTATTATTATTATTATTATTATTATTTCTTCAGAAAGTGCAGCGTCTGTTCCATTAGAGTATCAATGATGATAATGCCGTATTCAATGTTAACATTTTTATTTTAGTTTTCTTTTATTGCTCTAATTTTAAAAAAAAAAACAAAAAAACAAAAAACGATTACATGTTTAATCCATGACTAAACTGTCTTTCTTTCTCTTATTCTATTTTTCTGTTGAACTTAGTCAATAGTAGGTTCCTTTTTCAAATTCTTTCACTTGGAATCACTTGGAATGGGCAAACTCAAAGCGTAAAATTTGTTCAAGAAGGAGGAGTAGTTAATCACAATGGAGTCCAATTTCCGAGTAGAACGTTCTATCACTTGCTCAGTAAAGGATTCACAAATATCGACAGCAAGTTATTATTCGACTGGAAGGTTGACACGCCCATCCCGAAATTACTTACTTACTTTCTTTTGATATTTCTTTCTTTTCTACAGCCTTTTCCTTTCCTTTCCTCATTATTTGTTGTTCAGTTTTTATTTTCTTCTTTCTTTCTTTTTCGTCTGTCATTCATTCATTCTTATTTGTTGGTCTTTCTTTCTTACCTCTCGCTTGCTCTTTCTTTCTAATCACTAACCTTTCTTTCTTTCTTTCTTTCTTTCTTTCTTTCTTTCTTTCTTTCTTTCTTACCTCTCGCTTGCTCTTTCTTTCTAATCACTAACCTTTCTTTTTCTTACTTTCTTTCTTTCTTTCTTTCTTTCTTTCTTTCTTTCTTTCTTTCTTACCTCTCGCTTGCTCTTTCTTTCTAATCACTAACCTTTCTTTCTTTCTTTCTTTCTTTCTTTCTTTCTTTCTTTCTTTCTTACCTCTCGCTTGCTCTTTCTTTCTAATCACTAACCTTTCTATTTCTTTCTTTCTTTCTTTCTTTCTTTCTTTCTTACCTCTCGCTTGCTCTTTCTTTCTAATCGCTCACTTTTCTTTCTTTCTTTCTTTCTTTCTTTCTTTCTTTCTTTCTTTCTTTCTTACCTCTCATTTGGTCTTTCTTTCTAATCACTAAGGTTTCTTTCTTTCTTTCTTTCTTTCTTTCTTTCTTTCTTTCTTACCTCTCACTTGGTCTTTCTTTCTAATCACTAAGGTTTCTTTCTTTCTTTCTTTCTTTCTTTCTTTCTTTCTTTCTTTCTTTCTTTCTTTCTTTCATGCTCACCCCCTCAAACTGTTCCAATTCTTTCATTCTGTCTTTCTTTCTTTCTTACCTCTCGCTTGCTCTTTCTTTCTAATCACTCACTTTTCGTTTTCTTTCTTTTTTACCTGTCGCTTCTTTCTTTCTTTCTTTCTTTCTTTCTTTTCTACAACTTTTCTTTCTTCATTATTTACTGTTATTTGATTTTTTTGCTTGTTTTTTCTTTTTTCTATGTCATTCTTTCTTTCTTTGTTACTTCTCGATTTCTCTTTCTTTCTAACCTGTCACTTCTTTCTTTCTTTCTTTCTTTCTTTCTTTCTTTCTTTCTTTCTTTCTAGCCTGTCATCTGTCTCTTTCTTTCTTGTTGTTTTTCTTTCTTACCTTTTCCCGTGTTCTATCTTTATTGCTATCCTTTCCTGTTCTTTCTTTCTTTCTTTCTTTTTTCTTTCTTTTTTCTTTCTTTCTTTCTTTCTTTCTTTCTTAGGCACACTCCAATCTCAAAAATGAGAAAAGCTTACTTCTACAATTTCGTCTCTCTCTTCATCTTTGTTTTCTCTTTCACTCTCTTTCTCATCTTTTTCTCTGACAGTCCTACCTTGGTAAGCATATTCCCCTTCAGAGATTTTATTACTCGTCTCTCTCACATCAAAGCCAAGAACAATTTTGATCTCTCTTTTCCTTCATACTCTACTATCTCTTCTCCATTGTCCCTTTTCTGCTCCTCAAATTATTTCCAGAGAAGAAAAAGCTATTGGCCGACTCTGAACTAACAACTATTCACAGCCACCTTTTAAAATGATTGCAAGGAAGTGACGTTTTTTTTCCTTTTATTCTTCCGGTCGTTATCCAATAGAAAAGTTATCAATACGTTCTGTTCATCTCTACATATCAAAGACACTGAAAATCGACATGCTTTTCATAGTTTATTTTATTCTTTACTTTCATCTTTCCTTTGAATTGACTCCAATGTAATTTTGCTTTTCTTCGGCCATTTTTCTTCTTTGATCTATTCGCTTAGCTTTTATGTCCTTCGTCAATGTCTTCTTACTTCCGAGTTAGTCTCTTTTCGTTCTCTTTATTCGTTTAGTAGAGGTTTCCATACATTTTTTTCCTTCATTGATACAATTCTTCGTTTTCTTTTATTCTTCTATTTTTTCTTTCCGTTCTTTTTTACACTCTTTTTGAGTTCTTCTTTTCATTCCAACTTGTCTTGTTTTTTTTTGGTTTTTTTTTTTTGCTTTTCACTTTTTTCCAAAAATCACCTCATGCCATTTTTCCTTTTTTTTCTTTCGTAACATATTTGCACTTATTTTCTGTCTTTATTTCTTTCTATATTTTTCCATTCTTTCTTTCTTTCGCTTCTTTTTCTTTCTTTTTTTTCCTATTTCCTGAATGTTCTTTCAAACTGATTTCTTTCATCGACTGAAACCTCATATTTTTTTACAAATAACCAGTTACCTTTTTTCTTTTCTTATTTGTTTTCTTTCTTTTCCTTCCTTCTTTTCTAGTTGTTTGTCGTTTCTTCTTACTTTGGATTTTGTTCCCCTTTTTGCTTTCTTTCTTTCTTTTTTAAACGTTCTTTCTTTCTTTCTTTCTTTCCCCTTTTTAAAATGTTCTTTCACCGTTCGAATTTATTTCTTCGATCGACTGAAGCCGCCTCAATTTTTCAGATAATTGATTACAATTTTCTTTTCTTTCTTTCTCTCTTTCTTTCTTTCTTTCTTTCTTTCTTTCTTTCTTTCTAGTTGTTTGTAGTTTTTCCTTTCTTTGAATTTTGTTTCCTTTTTTGTTTTCTTTCTTTCTTTCTTTTTAAACGTTTTTCTTTCTTTCTTTCCCCTTTTTAAAATGTTCTTTCTTCGTTTGAATTTATTTCTTCGATCGACTGAAGCCGCCTCAACTTTTCATAACCGATTACATTTTTTTTCTTTTCTTTTCTTTTTTTTTTTTTTCTTTCTTTCTTTCTTTCTTTCTTTTCCTATTTTTTAAATGTTCTTTCTCCTAGTGCTTGTTCTTTCTTTCTTTCTTTCTTTCTTTCTTTCTCCGTTCGAATTCATTTCTTCCTTCGACTGAAACCTTTTTTCTTTTATGTCTCTCACTACTACGAATTCTCCTCCTCTTTGTCGATTTTTTTTTTACCTCATTTGCTTGTAATTCACATCTCTATTTAGAAAACGTATATATTTCTCCATCTTTAAACTAAATCCGAATATCACTGAATCCATCAGATTATTTTCCCTTCACAATCTGATGGCTAATGAACATGTCATTGACCTTTGACCTTTGTTTATAAGTGTCAGAATCAACATGGTGAAAGGTAAAAAGGCCATTTAACATTCGCTACCAACCTGCTTCCTCTTCATCTGTCTAAGAATTGTCCACCTTTCTCTGTCATATGCTGCTTCTTTTATGTACCGTGTCTCTTCAGGACGTAGGCGATCATGGCCTTTCACATCTTCCCGTCCTTTAAAGCTCTTAAGTTGTTTATGACTTGTCTTCCTCTCTCTTTCTCTCTCTCGCCTTCAATCTGTATTGTGAGTATCAGATTTTCCAAGCCTTCTTTCCTCATTACGTTCCCCAGAAATTTCAAGTGCCTCTTCCTGATGTTAAGTATATGTTTTCTTTTTGTTTCCATTTGCTCCAAATCCTCAGCATCTTTCTGTAGAAATAAATTCTGTTGCTTCATGTCTCTTCTTCATCTTTGAGGAGATTGTCTAGCATTCATGGCCACACAGGAGGATAAATAAAATTGATATTTTATAACAGTTTAGCAAATTATCTTCCGTAATATTATCTTTAGTTTTCAGGTAGACAACTCGTACACATGAAGTGGATGCTCCAGGCAACAGAGATATGGTTGTAGAAAAGACTATTGACAATGCCGAGGACTGAACATGTGAGCAACGGGGAAGTTTAAAGAAACTGGGAAGGAAAAGGCTACTTGTGTTTAGGATCAGAAAGAGACGATTTCAGTTTCTAAAATACAGAATGAAGAAAGAGGGTTTAGAGAATCTGATACTCGTAGAATACATATTAAGAGCACGAAAACCATAGGGAAGTGGTAATTAAGCAACCTAACGAACTTGAGTTTAGCGATGGTATGACTTGATTCTGGAGGGATGGTAACATATTTAAAAAGGATAGGAAATTGTGAAGAGCCATATTCAGCCACGTTCTGAAGGGATACGAAAAATGAAAGAGGAAGACTAAACGCTTTCGTCAAAATCTAATATTTGACTGATTTTTCCATCGCCATTTATTATTTCGTGTCACGCGCGCATTTCCTTTCATTATCATCTTGCTGTCAAGTAGAAGCAATTTATTATAGAGAATCTATTGGCAAGAGATTTAGGTGCAGAAACACAAACATAAATTTAATCCTTGTATATTGAACCTTGTTGTTATTAGCCACTAAGGTACGATAAATAGAATTCCTGACACCTGAACTACTTAATACTTTGTCGTCATGACGTACTTAACACAATTGTTGTCATTAGCCACGCAAACTGAACTCTGACACCACGAATTTTTGGCAAGAACATTTTAAAATTACAAATTTTATGCGCAAAAAATTACTATGCCTGATCACATGATCACATTTAACCAATCACACCTACACACACACGTATATATATATATATATATATATATATATATATATATATATATGTATGTGTGTGTGTACTTTTCAACTCAACTCTGTAAAAAGTAGTAAATAACATAACGCGGTTCTCTGATTTCATTTCGTACTCTGACGTTAACCGTGAGTGCAGTCCCCAAAATTAGATGCCTAAACTCTGAAATGTTATTTACTACTTTTTACCTCAATAGAAGTAGATATGTTCGCTGGTCACCCGGTTCGCACTCCTCTCTGTTTTTTGAACAGGAGTAAAAGTTTATCATTTGTTTATTGTTTAGGATTGGGTTTTCGATTCTTTTTGCAGACGAAAATCTACTTCAATTCTATATTTCTAACGTCTTCGTCTAAAATCTGAAATCTTATTTACTATTTAGTTTTCCTCAATAGAACTAGATACGGTCATCTATCGTCACACTCCTCCCTGATCTTCTGAACTGGAGTAGAGGTTTATCTGTTGTTTCCTGTTTAGGATTGGGCTTATGGTTACTTCTAAAGTTTTTATCAGTCTGTTTCACACTCAGTAGCCTCTTGCATCCTAGTCGCATTTTCGCCTTGCTTGAGGTGAATTGATTTTAAAAAAAAGTGTTCCAAGAAATAGGATCCAAGATAATCCTTTCCAAAAAGTATCAGCTGAAATTGGAATGAAAGTAACAAATATGGCAACAATACTTCATTCTAGGTTGGATCTGACTCTTGTAAAGATGGCAGCACCGACCATTCTTTTAGTTATCCATTTGTCTCTTTTCTATCGCAACCTTTTTCCGCACGCGCGTCTGTGCGTCTGTGAATGGCTGTGTTTGAAATTTTGGGGACTGCACTCACGGTTAACGTCAGTGTACGAAATGAAATCAGAGAACCGTGTTCAAATTTCACTGGTCCGTGTTTACTTCGCACTAATGCATTCGGAAAAAGTAAGAATCTTTCTCTCTCAACAAATCAGATCAGTAATTATTCTTTGCTGCTGCTGCTGCTGATGATGATGATGATAATGATGCTGTCGGTATCATTTGAGTCTGATTAACTTATTGTATGCTTCTTAAAGACATGCACATCGCTAAGTAACCGCCCGCTCCTCGGTTGCCTCGACAAATAGAATGAAAAAAACTCAAGTGATTTTAATGGAGACATTAACAGCAGCAAAAAAAAAAAAAAAAAAACAAAAAAAAACGCAAGAAATTTTTAGAAGTCATTATATAAAGTGATTGCGACATCACGGAATCGTTATCACGGCATAAAAAAATAGGAGCTACTTCCACGATGTCCCTAAGCGGTTTTTTTGGGGGAGAATAACATCATGAACACGTCAAAAGACAGTAACAATCATGGATTAGACACAGACATCTTCTCTGTTTATAGCTTCTCGTATTAAAACGTTAAAATAGAAACATGGATCAATATATATATATATATATATATATATATATATATATATATAAAAGACTTGAATCTCGGAGACAAATATTGGAACCAGCATCAGGACAGATACGACAGAATTTTGAAAAAACAAACAGAATACAGAATATATATATATATATATATATAAGTTTTTTGTGGTACAGAATTTAATAATAGATAGGAAAAGATAAAATTTATAAAGCATTTTATAAAAGAAAAGCTAAAAAAAACCCCAAAAAAACAAACAGTTTTGTCCCAGGACTTATCAAGTTTATTTTTCTGGGAATAGAAAATTTATAAAAGCGTGTAAATTAAATTAACGAATGGAATGAAATGGAAGAGATTTAAAAAAAGTGAATTTCAAGAAACTAGAGTCCAATAACATTCAGACCCAATAAGCATTCCCTCTGTTTACAAAGGGAAGGCCAACGGGATCTGATATACAAAGACTCTAGAACCTTGAGGGGAAATGTGGAGTGGGACCTTAATAAAATGAAAAAACGGTTCGCACTAAAATTAGCCAAACATTTCCTACTATTTATTATTATATGCTCAGCAATAGCAGAGCCAGACGTATTGGTTAGTTGGCTCTTCCTGGCAGACGGATTCAAAATCCTAGTGGGTAAATGTTGTTTTATTCTCGAATCCAAATTTTGTCTTTTCCTATCTATTATATATATATATATATAATGAATGCATCACATACAAAAAAGGAAGTCAGTTATTGTAGAAAACCATCTCCCATTTTCAATTTCAACCACATTAATAACTATGGAGATTTTTAAGATTATTTTATCATATTCGTGTTTCACACAGTGTTAGTGTTATATTCTGTGCTAACAGGAATATATACTTGAAAACACGGTGGATAAAATAAGTAAAGGTTTATTGTAAAAAACAGTATAATAAGAATAAAGGTAACAGTTATACACAAGGTCGTCGCAAGTCAATTTAGTAGAGAGTGCTTCTATTGGAAGGTCGGTAGTTCTCGCGTAAGTCTGAGTCGTGCTCAACTGATCCCAGCTAGTCGATATTTACCAGCCTCCCCACGAGGTAGGATGTAGCAAAATTTAATGGGTGTGTGTGTGGGGGGGTTAATCCGAGCCCATAGACTCGGCTGAAAATTCCCCGTAGACCCCGTATAAAAAAAACGGGGTCGGGTAGCTGTTTCCCAAGATTCGACATAGCCTCGTCTGGGAATCCTCTCTGCCCGGTGGCAAAGATTTTGACCAGCACAGATAGAAAAAACTCCAGCTAGTGTATTTACTAACCTCTACAAGTCCCCCCCACAGTGTAGGATGTGTCACAAGGCCGAATTTAATGTGGAGCATCCGAGCCCGTAGGCTCAGCCAAAAATTCCCGTAGAACTCGGGTAAAACGGGGTTGAGTAGCTGTTTCCCGGGACGAGACTCTGCCCTTCGGCATAGCCTTGTCTGGGGATCCTCTCTGCTCGGAGGCAGAGAATTCGACAGCACAGCTGGAACAGATTCCAGCTGGTCCCCGTAGTCCGTTGATTTGCAGATGGGGGTGACAGGTTATTCTATTACATCAGTTAGAGACTTTTTAAGTTTAAGGCTTTGGTAAACCATTTCATTCCGATAAATTTTCAGGCGACAAGGGCACTAAGTCTAAAACAGTTACTGAGAATGAAGGAAATTGAGAAAACCTTAGTGAGAAAAAATGACACTAAGAAGAAGAGGACTCAATGAGACGGAATAAGACAGCTGACGTGGCGTTTGAATATTTCTAGATTGTAGTTGACACGAAAACGAGAAGATCGAATAGGCTTACAAAGATGGAATGTGTGAGAGAAAAACTGTTAGAATGAAACTTACATTTAGCAATTTCAAAACTAAAATGAGACCTATATGCCAATCTAGTACTACGTTTAAATTCACGAAGTCAAGAGTGCAGGAAACTACGAAAATGCTTCTGATGAGAAAGACCAGTAAAAAGTGTGAGAGTCAAAGAGACACAAGATGGCGACTGACGTTGCATTTAATGATTTATAGATTTTAGTTGAAAAGAAAGCAAGAACCTGGAATAAAATTCCACACCCAGGAACTACGAGAGAAGAAAGTCTTAGAATATAACTTAGAGCACTTTTTCTATGTGCCACGTTTCTTGCGTTCATGG